GAGAAAGAACAAGTGATTTGTTGTATTGATATTATGTTATGGATATTGTTGATTGTTGAAGCGTAAAAAAATTTATATTTTTTCTGTGATTAATAGAAATAGTGAGTGATTATTAGTATCGTAAAAGATTTCATGTAACTGAAATGATGCCTATATTTAAGTTAAAAGTGTTTTATTAGATTATGGTGAATTTTTTCTAAACGCAAAAGTTATGAATCATCGCATGGAGAAGTAAAAAAAAAAAAATTCATTTTACTAGTTCATTAATGTTAGAATTGATAATTTATATTATAATGTTCATTGTGCTATTTCGTGTAGTATGTGCTTCGGTCAATTGAATGCCAATTGTTATTTTTTAAATTACAATAATGATTCAATCTATAGTACTCTTGTATAATTATCTATTTTAAAATACAACATTTCGGTTCACAGAATATCCAAAGGACCATTCCATTTAATTTATAGTAAGATGCACTGAAGTTAAATCGGACAATTAGTTAGCAGAGGCTCCAACAAAGTACAAATTTCATTAGTTACACTATCATTGGTGGTGCGGATTGTCAATCGATACATCTAACACATTAAATAATCTTAACGTTAATAAGAAGAAATCAGGATTTCAACGAAATATGACGTAAGCCTACCTGTGCATCAATATTGGGTTCTAATCGTAGAAGACATCCGATCATGCCTCCTTCAGAAGTATGTAAGACACTGGCACCAACAACATTATTGGGATTTGGATCTACCTCGTCTAATACTTCGTATTTGAATCCTGAAATCATTTTATGGATCTCTTGTATATTTATCGGGACATTTGATTTGAATACAACCTGCTTTTCTCGTTGACTACTGCCAATTTGTTTCCATCTTGCAAAAAATTCCGGACCATTTAGATGGATAGGTTCCATAAATTTTGTTAAAGAAATTGGTAGCTTTAAAACTATCGTACGAATACTCCCCGAAATATATGACACTCTCAAATTAGGCAAACCGTTGAACACATTCCGACACTCTATATGAAATAGTTGCTGAATCTGACTGGCTGGCGTTAATATTGTTGAAGGCGCTTGTGGTGTAGTTATTAAGAGATCGCTGACATTTTCAAGTGATGTAGTAAAAGACGTGATGTTCGTCTGAGTTTTATTGCCAAAATATAAAGCAAACCGTCCTAGATGACCGTGATATTCCGATTTCAAGCCAATCTGAAGTTGTGTATCTTCATATAACACACCCTCATTGCTGTATAATAATTTGCCTAACCATTTCTCTGATCCTGATGTTGACGAAGAAGTGCTCGAAGAAGCAGTATATGAACTTGGTTCACTGGTTATCTGGAGTCCTTCTAAACCAGAAATAAGATCTTTATTGTCATTTTCATTACTCTCACTCTTGCCCTTGAAATCATATGAATTATTTCTAATTGCCAAGGAATTCATTCGAGAGATTTCCCTTTCTTTATATGAATCCTTGCTTCCTATCATCCAGGTTCTTTTATCTTCAGTATCCGAATGTTGTTGGTGAAGCCTCGACAGAAGAGCCGATTCTCTCTCAGGGAATGGGGGCATCTCCTCACATACTGTTTGTAAAAGATTATCATTTGGCATTGTCGCTATGGTTATATACTCGACAGCTCGTTGCTGCAATTCGGAATCAAGTACATGGCGATATTGGTTGAAAACCGATAAAATTTCTCCTTTAATTTCTGGGAAAAGGTTTATAAACTTGAGATAGGTAGTCAAAAGTAATGCGCGAGTTTGCAGGGTGCACATTCCGAATTTTGAATGAATAGCACGAAACTGTTCGATGGGACTGGCGCCATTTACATTGGCGATGAGATGCCCAAATTCACCTAGGATATATCCACCTATTTTGACCAAATTTTCGTGACAGGAAGGTGACTTCAGGTGAACGAGTACTGTTCTTGAGGCGTACTCTTGAAGTTCTTCGTTGTTAGTGACTATCTGCACTACGCGATACCATACTTCATCGCCCACGTGATCACCAGCGCTGCTAATCAATTGTAGAATGATATCCACATACCAGTGATATTCTGTGGCAAACCTCTCGGTTAAGATTGCTATTTTAAGGACCATCTCTTCTCTTAAAGCAAAATCTGCAATATTTAGGTACCGTAATAACTCCGAAACAATCACTTTGGCATTTGTTACATCGCACATGCTGTATAAAAGATCCAATCCTCTGCGTCGCACGCTGATGTCCTTATCACGCAGGGATAATAAAATAGTCTCTTGATGTTTTTTGATTGACTCTAGTGAGTCGACACATGCAGCCAAATGAGTCATGGTTTCTAATCCCAAATATCTCACATTAGTCTCCTTAGATGTGATGAACCTTCCAAGTAAGACCGCTGCTTGGTTAACGATCTGTGATTCGGTGTCTAAGTGAATTGCAAGATTTATGGCTTCGAATAGAACAGAGTTTTGCGCATTATTGTGTTGCACGTTTTTTGGTGTTTCTTGAGAGTTATTAAGTATTTTTTGGAGCACATCATGTAGTCTATTTCGAGTTTCACGGTCATCTATTGTAAAAATTAATAATATTTGCTTCTGTAATTCATATAATATGACTCATTCGTATTTATTGAGAATAACGACATACCCGAAACTGGATAATACTGCAACAACCGAAGAAGCTTCACCTGTAACCAAGGTATGGGAACTTTATAGTATACGTAGTCTGGAGAATACTCATCGTCTATGACAATCTATCATTGAAGTTCGAGTGAACACGAGATTTATGAAAACCATGCTCATATTTGATTTGAAACTATTCCAAAACCTTTGATAGCCTATCAACTGCTTTAGCATAACACCCTATATATGCTTCCAGGTTATCCTGTGCTAACGCCATTACCAAACTTGTAGCGCATAATGCTACACCCTATAATCAAAGAAATTAAATTGTCCTTTTTTTCGTTAATACCTAATCTAAAAATGATTTTTTCTTTAAAAAAAAAAAAGAAAAAACTCACCAAGTCATTATCGTCCATTAACATAATAATTCTATCAGCCCAATCAGAGGCAGGAATTGCGTCGGGATGTTTTCGGTACAAACGTAGAAGAGTCAATGCTGCTTTTTTCTTAACAAAACTTTTGGAATTCCTATCGATTTTATATATATTAGTACATATAAAGAAAAAAGATGGAAGACAACCGTGGTGATGAACGATACTAACTGAGATAATAGGAGTCTGTGGACATCATTAGCCAACGAATCTGCCATTTCCCTACCGCCGATATTTGCGATAGCGTGTAGAGCGAGGCAGTTAAATATTTCGTTATATTCCTCGAGATCTTTTCTCATTGAGTTGACGACCAAGCGTGTAAGGTCGCTATTTTCATGCATTAAAAGGGTCACACCCAGGTATCCCTACGCGCCCAAGATCAAATCAAAAGGAATTAGACTATAAAGTGGAGGAATTAAAGAAGTAATTGGTGAAACAATTCAATACTAACAATTTGCTTCTCACTGTATTTATTACTAGAAATTAAATTTACAGCTTCCATGTGACCGAAATCAATGTCCCAACCAAGTATATACATGTATAGTAGCTTGCATACATATTTTTTCTTCTGATAGCCATTCAAATTTCCATCTTGATTTACAAAATTCCATTAACAAAAAGTCATGCTTAAATCATAGATCTTGATGAAAAGATATACCTTTAAATTTTGCACGAATGTTCGCCATCTCTTTATTAATCCTTTTCTCCTCTAACTCTCGTACTCTACCTATATTTTAGAAATGGTTAAAGGTAAAACGAATAGAACCTGACAAGATAAAGTAGGTCAAGAATAATCTGTGGATACAGTTTCGAATGTCCGCGATGAACACGGTTAAACCACGCATATTACTCGACATGATCGTAGATTTTGTAAATATAAGTTATATAAAACGAGGTGAATATGTATATAATTTTGTTAGATTAACCAATGGAAATTGCTGCTTTCATTTTTGTGCTCAAGAGTGTGTTCGCAAATCTATGTAGAGATGCGTTAGAAAGGTCAATACTGCTGCTTCTCGAAAATTCCAACATGCCAGGTT